TCTTCCGCCTCTTCTTCGCCCTCCTCCCCCTCGTGATCCTCGTTATCTTCCTACTACTACTACTCTTCGCACTCCTCCTCCTCCTCTTCCTCGCCGGCCTCGGCCTTTTCCTCCTCCTCGTACTCCTCCTCCTCCTCCTCCTCCTCGTAGTACTCCTCCTCCTCCTTTTCCTCCTAGTCATCCTCCTCCTTCGCCTCGCCTGTGTTGGCCCTTTCCTCCTAGTCGTCCTCCTCTTCCTCCTCTTCCTACTCCTCCTCCTCCTCCTCCTCTTCCTCCTCCTCCTACTCCTTCTCCTCCTCCTCCTCCTTCTCTTCCTCCTCCTCCTCCTTGGCCCTTTCTTTCTCCTAGTCAGCGCCCACCTCCCTCGACCCCCCTTTCGCTTCCTCCTCCTCCCTGTCGACCTCCTCCCTCCTCCTCGCCTGCTCCTCCTCCTCGCCTGCTCCTCTTCCTCGCCTGCTCTTCCTCCTCTCCTCCTCCTCCTCCTCTCCTACTCCTCCTCTCTCTCCTCCTCTGAGGTGTTGACATGTTCATCAACAGAGACGATCGCGCATCTCCCACCAATCTTCCGGGCAAGCAGTTTGAATCAGCAGCAACTACTGAGCACGAAGACAACAAGAGCAACTCCAAACACACCAAACAAGAGTAGAGGAGGAGGAGGAGCTCACAATCACTCGAACTTTTTTTTTTTCAACCAACCAATCACTCACTCACTCACTCACTCACTCACTCACTCACTCAATCAATCAATCAATCAATCAATCAATCAATCAATCTATCAATCAATCAATCAATCAAACAAACAAACAAACAAACAATTAATCAATCAATCAAGCAGTCAATAAAAAACAAAAATCAGAGTATCCCTCTCCTTCTTTGAGGTGTTGACCTGTTCATCGACAGAGACGGTCGCGCCTCTCCCGCCAATCTTTCGGGCAAGCAGTTTGAATCAGCAGCAGCTAAGGAGCACGAAGACCATAAGAGCGACTCCAAACACACCAAATAAGAGCGAGGAAGAGGAGGAGGAGGAACTCACAATCACTCAAACTTTTTTTTTTCAACCAATCAATCAATCAATCAATCAATCAATCAATCAATCAATCAATCAATCAATCAATCAAGCAGTCAATAAAAAAGGAAAATCAAAGTATCCAATCGAATCGATTTGCTCAATTGGACACTTTCATCTTCGACTGATTAAAAAAAAAAAAAAAAAGGGATCAACCAATCAGTGAAAAAGGGGAACGGGGTTAGGGAGGGGGGGAAGAGGAGATGGTTTGGGGTCATACCTCTGTGAAAGGCAAGCACTGGCATACAATGGCCCACGACGATGGTGGCAACTGAGGCGAAAGGCAGGCCCTGGCATAGAATGGACGAACTGTGATGTGGACGTCATCAGCGGTCGCCGCGATTCCCCATACCCAGTATCGTTGCCGTCGGCATCAATCGGCGCCGGCCTCACAATGCCGACCGAAACTGCAGGCTGGTACCAAATGTGCGAAAAGCAGGCCCGGTACCAAAGGAAAAACGGGTGAGGCCCGACGCGAAACGGAAAAAAAGGTCAGGCCCGAAACGAGGCCCGCACCCCCCACCGTTTTTGGGTCCACGTGCAGGCCCGAAACGAGGCCTGTACCAACCGAAAACGAGGCCCGGCCTCTTTCTATTCTCGTTATTTCGTGTCGTGCGAAGGCGCCAATCAATGCGACGTGGGGCTGGACGGAGAAGGAAAAACACCCTAACCCCTGCCGGCATGTTCATTTCGCATCCGCGCGAAAACGTGAGCCCGACGGAGCGCTATTCTGGCAAACGTGCACTATTGCGAGCTGCACTTGCACCATTGCGAGTTGCTCGTGCGCCACTGCGAGTTGCGCGTCCGGCAGTGCCAGGTGCGTGTGCGCCATTGCGAGCTACGCGTGATCGTGCCTTCTTCTTGCAACAACACCTTCATACAGCGCCTTCTCAGGGCGCCTTTGCACGGTGCCTTCGAGCAGCTGTGCGCCTTCTCGAGGCGCCTTTGCACGGTGCGTTCGAGCAGCCGAGCGCCTCCTTATTGCACGGTGCCTTCGAACAGCCTCTTGAACAGCAAACAGGCTAGCTGCGAACCTCGACACTCGGTTAGGGGCCTTCGCGCGGCAGCAGGCCGACACAAAGGTGTTGTCACCTTCGAGAAGGTGAGGTTTCTTCGCCTACCACTTTTAAGCCCCTCAAGGCTTCGGTCCTACAACACGCCTGTCCTATACTTAGGACTTGTCAAACAAGCCACCCTCCCTCGTTCACTTTTACACCCCTGAAGGCCCTCCCTCCTTCCCTCAAGGCCCTCCATCCGTCCCGCACTTTTATGCCGAACTACTCACTTTTACGTCCCTCAGGGCCCTCCCTCTTTCCCTCTGGGCGTCGGTCATGCAGCACGCATTCAGTGCAAGGCCCTCCCTCCCTCCTTAAAGGTCTTTTTCAGTTTCAGAGCTTTTTTTCTTTTTTAAAGGTCTTTAGTTTTGAAAAAAGGTCATTGTTTTTTAATGTTCTGGTTTTCAGGAACCTGGCAGGTCGTTTTTTTTTAAAACAGGCGGGGTGACCGTTTGTTTCCATGGCATTACGTATCTTTCGCCGTTCCACGTCCGGGTTTGCTTTCCATTCGTCTAAAAGAAATGTGTCATTTTCGGAGGGGTGTTGTGTATCTATCTTTCTTCGTTCCACGTCCACGTTTGCTTTCCCTTCGTTCCAAGAAATGTGTCCGTTCTGCTAAAAGAGTACATGGCATGCACAAGTCGATGTTGTTCGGGAAGAACGTTCCTTGAAAGAGCTTATGTTATGGAACACACATTTCCGGAGCTTTGTTTATGTTCCTCTCAGTTTGCACCTATGTTTCTTAAACGACCTTCTGTTATGGAACAATTAGGCTTGCACCTTTGTATCTTAAACGAGGGGACCACGCCCCGTGCACTGGCCAGCGGTTGCCAAGGATAAGGTCAACGACCACCGGGAATGGAACAATGCAATGGTGTGACCTGGCGTCCCAAGGGAGCCAGCAAGGACCATGGCATGTGCACGGCGTTTCGGGACGGCGG